GTTAGATCATTTGAGGGAATGGTAAATATTTCTTTTATTAGCCATTGAGATGTTGGGGTTGCTGGTACTGCAACCGAACCTAGCAAAAGTTTATTGATACACTCAGATATTGACACAAATGCGGGCAGTGGGGCCCTAGACCCTGTGTTCTCAATCACAGAGCAACCCCTTCTGCCGTGCATATTTTTCATTTGTACATGGATTCCTGATGGGTGATATGAAGGAAATTTAAAGCATCGTTTAAACAGTCAGTTCGTATCTTGGATAGGAAAAAATGGGCGCCTATAAGTTTAAAGCGCAAACTAACCCAACACCAAAATTGAAACTTCATGTGCGGATTTATTTTTCAGGGTGCACGTAATACATTCAGGTTGTCTCATGTAACAGTTGTTGGCAAGTACAGGTGCAGTTGCTGGTTCCTTTCTCTGTGATTTCAGACTGGAAGCCGCCATCTCTGGGGCTGGGAATTAGATTCATTTGGAATGTGAGCCCAAATCTCTCCACTAACAGAGCCACCTGGTTCTAAGCAAAGTCATGGAGACATGCGAAGCAGGAAACAGAAGGGGACATCTACAGAGACATGAATCACATAACCATTTGATTAAAATTTAGGATAAGTGTCACATACTGCGATTAGGAAAATAGCTAGATGGTCTTTACATTCTAGACCAATAGAGATTTGAATGGCCATTTGAACATTTGGCCATTGAAAATCTGAATGCTCCAAATCATTCTCTGAGGTTTTGTTTAAGTAACTATTTAAAAGTATAAACGAGCAAACAAACAAACACTACTGATTAAGGTATGGCTACAGCTACAGATTAAGATCAAAGCTACAGCTTAGGGATGATAGCATTTTTCAAAGACGAGACTGTCCTTTGTTTGAGGCAAAAATTTTCTATTAACTAAGGCTATTAACATGATGTTAAGTATATGTATAGTCTACTCCATAGTTAGAGGAAATTTAGAATACCATTAGAGTATTAACTGCAATAACGATGCTCCCTTCCCTGGATCAGGTCTTAATTATTTCTAGAAGTAATAATTTGTAATTATTTAAAATAGATTTGTATCCCAAGTGGCTGCATGCTGTTTTTCTATATCTCCAAACACTTCAACTGTAACCAAAAAGGGGTCTCTGACACAACACAAGTGTTTAGATAATTTTAAAATTTAACCACTAATTCTGCTTTTATCGTTATTGCTGAATTTAACAATCTCATAAAGCTCTGGAGTGAATCAATCCTTTTTTGCCACTTAAGGGGCAATGAGTATAAAGAAGCAAGGGATGTCATTTCAATAAGGTACAAGTCCAAATCCTTTCAATTCAAGCAACCCAATTCCATCCAGCTCCAAGTTGAATACAATGAGTTAAACATGTAGCTAAACAAGCAGTATCATTTCAGAAATGATAAAAAGTAACTAAACAGACTTTTCTCCAAGATCCCTTCCTTCCTTCTTCCGACTGTCTCTGGCCTCTTTTCTTCCAGGTCTACTTGTTATCTGTACATCACCTGGTTGATAAGGAGCTAGCTAAGGGAGAAGAGTTCTACCTCGCCTGACTGCTTTTCAGTGAAGAGACTCTATTTTGTTTCCCCGCGGATTCACACAGACATCACACCCTTGACGGCAGAAACATTTTCTACCTGTGAAAACCGCTGAATATGTGTAAGATTTCCCAAAGGTATATTCACTTATTTTTATTTGCCAGTGACTTTTTTGTTGCCAGTTGCATAGCTATTTTCACGGTTTGCAAAAATTCTATAGAGATATTTTATCAAAGGACAGAGGGGGTTATGACAGTGAATGAAAGTATTTTCCCATCTTGAAGGACACTATGTTAGTCCCATATATTAAATAAAGACTTCAGTTGCACACACAAATTTAGTATCTACTGATGTTTCAGGCATATCGAAGTGAGGCAACAAAAGAAGTTTTTTGAAAGTTGCAGAATGGAATCAAGCACATAGGGGTGAATTTTACTGTGTCACTCACTCTGACCCATCTGTTTGAATGGGCAAGCCAAATTATTTTGGAGTGTGCTATTGACTGCCTAGGGACATAGTGACACTTCGTTGACTAAGTAGGCACCAAGGAAGAAAGCAAGTCATGGTTTGGTAAATGAGCAGTGAGATCCGCAGCACGGAACCTACCAGAACTGAAAGTTACTGATGGAGCAATTTTCTTAAATTTACTTCCATAAAGACGGAGCACATCAGAGAGACTGAGCAATTTCTTGTACTTGGTTTATTTACATTCCTCTCCCTTTCTAATTTCACGAAAGGCATTCAACTTTAGAATTCACGCCTGCATGCCTTTACTTACCTAACGGCCTCTGTGCTGGTGTGGCTTTTACCTTCACAGTGAGTCTTGACTTCTCTTCCCCTGACTGTGTCAGATGGAACTGCGCCAAGGTACAGCTGCTTGTTCGAGTCCTAGCAATACTCTCTATGCATCACTTCTTCTATTTTAGGTAGCAGCTCTCTGGTAAACACCCATCCAGAAACAGTTCAAGAAACAGTATGCCGTCTCATCTTTCCCCCCAGGTGTGAGATAAACTCACTACTCTGCTTTCCCTCACTACTGATCATAAAAAGAAAACCATATCCTGAGTATTCTGCACACCATCTTTAGAAACAAACAAACAAAAAAAGATGCCTGCAGTTGGAAAACACAGCAAAGAAAACTAGGGTATATTTTGTTTACCCTTATCAAAAACATGCCAGAATCAACTCAAGCTCTTATGCACAAGAAAAGTAACTAAACCTTTTCTCCTCAAAAGAGAAAAGCAGCCGGAGACACTGTACAAGTTTTATCAGTATTTCCAAACAGTCGCCAAACCTTGACTGCAATTTAACTGCCCCTCGTTATACCTGGGTGCCACTCTTAAACCACTCCAAAGGCGGCCGCCACTGTTCCCGATTCTCCACTGAGATCAGTGGCCCCGCCATCAAAGGTGAACAACGCTTCTGCTAAGGTGAAAGCGGAATGAGTCCCAGGACTTCCCTGTACAAAGGAACCAAGCCCTGCAGCTCTGCACAGCTTCTTTCTCGTTTGCATGGAGAGAAACGGCTCCTCTCGGAGTTGCCTGTTCAACCTTGGAAGTATAGCCACCAGGCTCCCGCGCCGGCGCGCAGCTCGGACCCCTGGCTCGCCTCTCTTTTACACCCTCCCCTCTTCCCAGAGCTCACCAACTCTGCGGAGAAGCCCGCAAGTCTGGACCAGAGGGCCCTGAGACAGGGCTTGCTCAGCCGGCGTCTCACTGACCGCAGTGCTGCCACCGCACTTTTCTGCGTTTATGCCCAGTGGAAGTTAAAGACGGGGGACCACCGCTCACCGTACGTGTGTGCGTGTGTGTTCTTTTTCCCCGGTATCGATGCTTGTTCTAATGCACCGCCATGAACGAAACGGATGATTAGCAGGCTCCGGAGCGTCACGTAAATCCATCCGCAATTCTGGATAATCGGATATCAGCTCGGCCACGGCAAGGATTAGTTAGGTTCTAGAAAGTGAGGGGGAATCCTCCGTCCTGCTCCCCGGGGCTGCAGCTCCAGCAGGCGGACCGGCGCCTCGCGCTGGCCACGGTGCTGAAACCGCGCCATTTCGGCGGCCGCAGGGAAACTTTGGCCAATGCACTGGGCGAGCTGGCCTGCTTTAGGCGCCCTTTCGCGAAGAGCCGACCGGGAGCTGGGGACAGCTGATATTCGGGGACCCCCCCGCAAAAGGCACGCAGCCGGATTATTGCTGTGCCCAGAGACAGGAAAGTTTTGTCCAGCATTTTTTCCCCCTCTCTGTTATTGGAGCTGCCGTCTCCCCTCCCACCTGGGTCGCCATGGAGACTCGGCTCTTTCTCCAGGCAAAATGGGCGAAGCTCAGCTCGGCTCTGATAGAGTCTGTACACAGCAAGTCGCCTTTCTCTCTGAGCGGTTCCTGGGCACCCCTTCTCCGATTTGCGGCAAGAGCAAGGCAGGCAGGGAACAGCGCCGGCAGGGCTGATGGGCCGCACGGCTCCCCAGGACACACAGTCCAGAGCCACTTGAAACAGAAACTGAACGAACTCCCAGACGCTGCACGTCCTCTCACCCCCTTCCATTTTGGGGGGTGGAGGCGGGATTCTTCGGAAAATTCTGGTATTTTGCCTCTTCACTAGCCTCACACCGCTTCTGTTAAGATGTGTATCCCCCACGAGTCCCTCTCAAGCCCACCGCAGGAGATATACCTGTGGATCGACCGGGCTTTTATTGGGCTTGGGGGATACTAATGCTATATCAGCTAAAAACTAATCCAAGTTCGATGTCTTTGATGCAAATGAAAATGCACCCGAGAGGAATCTAAGTCAGCAGATTCGCCCCCCTCCCAAGCAATACAATCTGATTTTGTCAGCAGGGTGTTTTTCTTTCCGATCACAAAATAATCCCGTTCACTTCTCGGGAGGGCTTTCCCAGTCCCCGTTTGGCCATCGTATCCGGTCACATCTCTGGTGGAGAGCAGTTCGGAGGACTTTCCCCCTTTCTCACCGGCTCATTTCTCACTTTTCCTGCTTTCCTGCCTCCCCTCTGCTCTCTCCTCTCCTCTTTGGGCAAAGGCAGAAGCAGGCTCCAGTCGAGTTGCGAGTTTCCAGCTGCTAATGAAAACCCAACGGAACAGATTTCCCTTCCGTTATGTAACCGGCGTCTCATCTCCCTCGCCTCTGGGTGGACTGGGGCAGCGCGCTACCCTCGGAGCAGGCAGGGATCTCGGGGCCGGGGACCCACGGGCACCCCACGCCTCACCTTCCGCAACTCCGCGCGCGGCTCTTACCTGGCTTGGGCGAGTTTCCAGCTGCTAATGAAAACCCAACGGAACAGATTTCCCTTCCGTTATGTAACCGGCGTCTCATCTCCCTCGCCTCTGGGTGGACTGGGGCAGCGCGCTACCCTCGGAGCAGGCAGGGATCTCGGGGCCGGGGACCCACGGGCACCCCACGCCTCACCTTCCGCAACTCCGCGCGCGGCTCTTACCTGGCTTGGACAGGGTGGGCTCACTCCATCATGGTCTTCCCTCCCGGACCGGAGCGGGATTTACGAATGCACGGCCCGGCACGATGGATGGCGAGGGGAGAAGCAGAAGGGACGGAAAGGGACGCTGGAAGCAGATGGTCACATCTCACGGCGGCCCCGGAGGCTGTTAGGAGACCCCATT